CTGACATCGGACTTAAGTATTCTCAAAACGGTAACCATTCGATGAAAATAGTAATCACCCCTAATATGGCAAGTACGAGCCTTCTGCGATGGTTCAGCCTAAGGGCTTACGTTCTCTTCAGAACTCTGAATATTTCTTTCAGGAAGCTCTTGTGCTGGCGAATAGCGCCATATGGTTTTCCTTCCAGCGACAGCTCACAGCCGCATGTTGCGTCTCCTATCCACAATATCCACTTCCCGGCAATACAGGAATTCGCGTTCATAGTCGGCTACCAATTCGTTTCGAATCGCTCAAATGAAACAAATGCGTGGGGCATATCAAAAAGAGTTGATCGGCGTCATAGAATTTGTAGATCCTTTTCGGCTCAGGAAATGGCAGCAGTCAAATATCATAAAAATGACGGCAAACGATACGACGCCATGCATTCGATTTTATGCGCAATTTTTACAGCAGCTATTCTCTCACAATCAAAATAGCAGCCGCAACACTTTTTGTTTTGACTAACACGAATGTATTGGGTTGTCTCATAATTCCTGTCGCATTTCTATTCAATTTCAAATTTCTTCCGTCTAAGACCGTTTCATTGCGAAATACGTTAGTATGTTGAAGTATGCTTCAAGAGCCTTAACAGCATGGTTTCGGAAACGCAAGCCCTTAATGGGTTAATCAACTAGGAATAAAAATAGGTCAGTGACTATAATGAATGATTATGCTTTACGATCCTCAAATGAACTCTGTAGCAAGGAGGACAACAGAGAAGACCAGCGCTGTGTTTGACCCAGTCTCTGCTACTGATAGGGTACTGAGCTAGTGGTCCAATCGCAACGGCAAAGACGAAACGAGCTATGAACTTCAACCTCATACTGGGCCTGCGGTCATTTTTGATGAGCACCCTAAATTGGGAGTGCCTCCGTACGTTGCTACCAGGGTATTGTAGCAGATACCTGAGCGCAGCCGATGCACCAGCACACGCCATCAGTATGGCAAGGACTGCTGCAGAGTGAAGTTTTGATGGAAACCTTATGGTCCGGCCGACCATGAGCGGGAAGCACGCCTGATCACCTGGGGAAAACCCATTCTTGGATGGCAAAAGCAGAGTCTTCCCTAATCGGTCACCGGTGGAAATGAGTCAAGAGTCCACTGCGACAACAACATGCGGCACGTCTTATGGCTGCCTCGCAGCCAGGAAGCACCAGCTCAACCAAAGCCCGAACTCCGTTTTCTGAGAATATCGCTCTCGTTTTGTTGGATTCGCTAGGTGGCCTGGTT